CCCCCCGCCCCATTGATGGAGAACGGGAGGGCGGTCGCGCCAGGTGCTTTCTTTCCCCTCTCCCTCCGGAGGGGAAGGGGCGAAGGGGGAGGCCTCAAAGGGCCACGAGCAGACAAAGGGCGACAACGACCCCCAGAAGAAGCAGGAAGGGCAGGTGCGCCCGGAAGAACCGACCGGCGCTGATGTACCGGCCGTGCACCAGGACGCCCCATGCGATCCGGGGCGCCCCCCAGCACCCCGCCGTCAGCGGATTTTCCCGCAAGACGCACCCCACAAAAGAGTGGCAGTTGTTCGAAAAAAGGTTGTACGCCTGCGTCTTGCGAAAATGTTTCGTGACGCGGGCCAGCGCCGCGTCGTACTCCGCCACCTCGCGTCGGCACGCCTCCTCCCACTCTTCTTGCGCCCTCGTTTCGCCCAAAGGGCGATAAAACGACGGCACGCACATTCTTGAAATGTCCCAGTACTTCGCGGGATTGCCAAAGAGCATTTGATCCACACCGATGAGGCAGGTGCCTTCAAAGTCGTAGATCCGGCCAGCGGAGTCACAGATACCCACATGGCCAATAAAGGGGAAAAACCACGAAATAAACGGGAGAGGCGCCCAGACTATGCAAAAAGGATAGTGCTCCGCTGCTGGATCCACTTTTGGCGGCAGGGGTGGCACAACAACGCCGTGAGCGCCCTCGTCCCATTCCTCCTCGCCCTCCATTCCTTTACGCCTCAGCATGCAACGAGGGAGTATATATATATGTTTTTCTTTTTTAAAAAAGATGCACAATTTTTCTTGTCGCACTCGACTTTGTATTCTTCCTCAAGCGCCAGAAAAAAAAGGGAAGAGAAACGGCATCCTCTGTTAGTATCCATTTTTTGCACCAGCAATTATCCCAAAAAAAAAGAGTTAAAGCAGAGCAAAGTCAACAAAAGGCGAACTTCTGGGTGGTTTGGGTGAAGACGCATTCTGCATACATCATCGCCCAGGGTACACACACACACGCACATACACAGCGAGGCGTTTCCACCACCTCCCCTCTTCACCTCCCAACCGTTATTCCAATCAGAGCAAAAGTCTTCCCTTGAAGATCGTTTTTGATCAAGCACATGATTTTGTCGAACGTGCACGCAACACCACAGCAAGGACGCACACGCAAGCAGAACCAGATTCCATACGCAAATACATAGACATACGCATATAGGCATGCATGCAAATGGGCTGTATTGAGGGGGGGAACCCATAGTTCACTTTTTTTTTTGGAAGACAATACACGTTTTGGTCATTTTTTATACAATACGCAGCAGTCACGGTAAGTGAGGCCCAACCGTGAGCGAACGCGGGATAAAGAGAGTGTGAGAGTCAGACACCCCCAAGACCCACCCCCCAACTCGACACAACGCATTTCTTCATTCCCCCAGCAGCCACTAGCAGGTGAGATATCACCTTTAGGTGGTAGAACACAAAATTACCACCTCTAAAACTCCTTTATTTTCCGTTTTTCGTCCTTGCCCTTACAGTTTATGTTTGGACTAATAATTTTTTTCCTTTTCGTTTTTTTTTCTGTTTGGGGGGTTTCCACAGTCTGACATTTCTCCGTGTTGTTATTTCTTTCTTCTTTTCGTTCGTTTATTTCCATCCACTGCCAGTGTAGTTTTCATCTTCTTCTTCCTTTCACTCCCGTGTCCCAATTTATGTGGGACCGATGGGGGCCAATATGGGTTCCTTTTCTCTTCCCCCTTGCTCTATATAAAGGAAGCTTCTCTGCTTGCATGAATATACTAAATAGATATCTATTGACATCCTTTGGGAAAGGAAGGGAATCTCAACCCAAGAAAAACCAGCCACAGTAGGGTACCCCATCCCCCTCCTCCTCCTTTTCGTTTTCGTTTTTTTAGCGTTTTTAATTCTCTTTAGAGACTCAAAAAGCACATGGCCAACTTCCTCTCCAACAGGCAGTTTTTTTTTCCACTCACACCCACTATCTACACCTCTTGACCTGCTGCCTCCCATGGGCAATGGGAGAGAAAGCAAATGCACCTCCGCCATTTTTCCTCGTAACTCACACACACAAAGAAGCCAAACCCCACGGCATATCCATGTGAATCTCAAAGCACGCACATGCACACACTCAGCGAGGCAAACAAAAGACAAAAAGTTCGCCTTTCCACGAAGCAACCACCTGAAAAGTCCAGTTATTCATCTTCATTCTTAAATATTCGTTTCCACCCCTCACCCAGACGCCTTGATCAACCCTCCTTCCAAGTTGAGTTAACTCTTTTCAGTTTCTATCACAACTTACTTTTCCGCTTGGCCCTGGCAAGCGCATCAATTTTGACCCGCATCGATGCATACACAACAGGAAATGGAGGATTGCCATCCACCTCCAATATCCGCCCCGCGTAGTACTCAAGAAGGGCTGTCCTCTCAGCTCGGTAAATTTTCATCCGCCGCTGGTGCTTTTCGCGTGTATCGTCAGATCGGATCAGAAGGCGGCTCATAATCTCATCCGGTGGAGGGTCGCTTTTCAAGTTGTAAATACGCCCCGTAACGGGGTCTAATCGGCGCAACAGGCAACGTTCCTCTAGCATCTGGGCGTCCACGCTAATGAACACCATTGCGTCGATCTCAAAGCCAGTTGCAGCGAGTGCCTTGGCTTGGCTAAGAGTGCGCGGGTAGCCATCTAGGAGGACACCTTTTGCCCTGGCGTCTCTTTCGCTGAGCCGTTCTGCCATCACCTTTACAATGACTTCATCCGGGATGAGCCTTCCTTCGCTCATGTACGCCGCCACTTGTCGTCCAATCTTAGTTCCTTTCTCCACCTCATCCCTCATGAGGCTGCCGGCGCTGATGTGAAGCAGACTGTAGTCTTTGACAAGCGCTTCACCCGCAGACCCTTTGCCGCATCCAGGGGCGCCGAACAGCAGGAGGTTCAGTGGCATGGTAGGCTACACAAACGAAGGAAGTTTGAGCAAAAAAACCCGAGGACGCAGAACTGCTTCTACCGCAGCAGTTTTGAGCGTCGCCACGCAAATCAACCTGGCACGAGACGATAAACAAAAGAGCAAAAAAAAGAAAAAAAAAAGAGAGAGAGAGACGCTCATGAACAGCAACAGCAGCACTCACAAAAAA